CTCCAGTGCCAGGAAAACAATCCGTTTTCCTGGCACTGCAGGTCCCCTCTACCTCCCACCTCCCTCCCCCGGTTGCTGAAGGGGTCAAAACCTCTTCAGTGACTTACCAAAGGCAGCGACAATGTCCCTCTGCGCTGCTTCTTGGCCCGCCCAAGTTCCTCCACGTCACCATGTCAGCCGGCGGGGGAGACCTAATGCGCGTACGCGGCAATGCCGCGCACGCGCATTAGACCTCCCCATAGGAAAGCATTGAAAATTATTTTATTGATTTCCTATGGGGTTTTTAACGAAGCTGGAGGTCCTCACATAGCGTTAGGATGTCCAGCGATGCTATAGAGGAGGAGTTAACCCTGCAAGGTAATTATTGCAGTTCATAAAAACTGCAATAATTACAGTTGCAGGGTTAAGGGTAGTGGGAGTTGGCACCCAGACCCATCCAATGGGCAGAAGTGGTCTGGGTGCCTGGAGTGTCCCTTTTAACTGATGGGTTGTTGGGCTTGACATACAATTGAGTAACATGGCCGTTATTTACTATGGCCTTCAGGATGTCTATTAATATAACAGGATCATAATCCTTGTTGGAAATGAATTCAATTTCGAGTATTTTGTTTGACAACTAAACTTCTTTCAAAGCAAATTCTCGCTTCTACAGGTTTATCAATTTAAACTGAAAAAGAAGATTAAACGAACACTTCAGGCATTACATACAGTACATCCTGCATTTAACATGTAACATCCTGCAGCAAATCGAACAACCCTCAGGCCTCATCTCACACTCATACTTAGTGAAGCTCTGCATTTAACATCCTGCAGCAAATCCAACAACCCTCACCAATTCCCACCCACCCAGGTTCCCCCTAAATATATAGCATGCTCCTCCAGCTGTTTGAGATTCTCGCTCAATTACCTCTCCATTCCGTTTATATTTTACCAATAGCTGCTTCTCTCTAACTCTTTTAACCATCACCTCCACATTTCCCCTGCAACCTCTTGTCTCAAATCCCTATTGTATCCTTTAGATTGTAAGCTCACGGGCCATCTAGCTAAGCACTTAAAAGATAAAAGCATAAAAGAGCTCCAATGGCTAGTTATAAGCTTACGGTCAGGGCTCTCTCTACCTCTTGTATTTGTCTGTGTATATCGTACGTTCTCCACTAATTGTTCAGTGCTGCAGAATCTGTTGGCTCTTTATAAATACCAGTAATAAATAAATCCTTCTGTAGTTGTTATGGTGTCCAAGATGTCCCTAATGGCCTGGCAATATCAGACATTTTTGCAATGCCAATTCTGAGTTTTTTTTCTAAGAAGACTTACTTAGTTTCATAGTGAAGATTGATTTTCCTTTTGTAATCTTGTGTTAATGAATAATAGGTAGCAGCTGCAGCAGAAGTGATATCCAAAAATGAAAGGAAAAAGTCAATTTGCAATTACAGACCCACTCACCCCTTCCAACCTAACAAGAAACAAATTGATGATGATGATCAGGGGCGTGCCTGGAGCATTTGGCACCTGAGGCGGATCCTGTATTTGGCACCACCCTATCCCTTTAGAATGTAAAAAACACCCATAAGGCGGGGCCTGTCCGCCGAGCTGAGCGAACGCAGACAACAACAGCTCCTGCGACAAATGGCAATTTAAGCTATATTTACCCGCATAGATGCCGAAACCGGGCATATGACAGGGGAACCTGAGACCTCCACAACGATACCATATAAGTGGATACCCCACTCAGATCTGCTCCGCATTAAAAAGCGGCCTACACTCACGGGCGGCTTGGGGGAAACAGCCACTCTCCCACCGCCTCCATACTCAGCTGACATCTCTAAAAGCCTACGTTCCCCCCTCATGGACCAGCGGGGGTTATCCCAGTCCACATCGAACTGGCTCACAAGCTACCACAAGCTTCTAAGACCTCCTGCAGCCTATGCCTCGCTTGCAAGATGGCGGCTGAAGACCACGCTCTCAGGCTCTTTACATGAGCGGCTAGACCCCATACTCCAATGCTTCTGGGAGAAGCTAGAGCAGCGTGCTTCCCAACTACCCCCTGCACATGACGGAGATACGGAGGGGAGAGGGACCACGGGGCAGAATGGGCCCATCCCGGGTAAAGCTACACACGAAATACCCACTGCCCACACTACGAGCCCATCTATGCCAAAGGTCGCGAGGAAACCTCCGCCGAGGCATAGACCACAACGCTGGAGGGCCACACGCCGCTGGCAGCGGACGACCACCAGGCCCTTCCACAACACCCAAAAAGGGAGAGACCTGGCCTCTCTGGGCACCCGAGTCTGTGGCCCAAGGATGCCGACCTTAAATGAGGCCTGGAGCTGGGGAGAGACAACCCACTTCTATCCACTCACCGCTACTCCCAGGTGCCCGCTCCCAGGCTGCCCAGCAAAGGTATCGGCTGACACAGGAATCTGAGTACTGAGCTCCCTCCACCAAGCATGATGGACTAAACAGCAGGGACGGTATACCATTTAACTCCCTAACGATAAGTTAAACCTCTTGTCTCAGCACTCTACCATCTGCTGATGATGTGCTGATGCTCGGAATGAAAGGGTACATGTCACTGGCTGGCAGGCCTTTTTCTCTCCAAACCCCTTTGTGTGTCTCTTCTTCCCTCTGCATGTTTTCTTTTCCTCTTCCCCTCTGTGTGTCTCTTCTCCCCAGCCCTTCTGTGTGTCTGTTTGTCCCCCCAGTCCCTTTGTGTGTCTGTTTCTCCCCTAACCCCATTTGTGTGTATCTTTTTCCTTTTCCCCAACCCCTCTATGTGTCTCGTTGTCCCCCTCAGCCCCTCTGTGTGTCTCATTGTCCCCCTTGGCCCCTTTGTGTGTCTGTTTGTTCCCTCTAAGATCCTCTGTGTCTCTCTGTGCATCCAGCCCATCTGTGTCTATTTCTCCCCACAAGCCCCTCTGTGTGGTTTTCTCTTTCCCTGTCTGTGCCCTTCTTTTGTCCCCTCTCCTCCTATGCCCTTTTTTATCTTTCCTTCTGTGCACGTTTTTGCCCCCCTCCTGTGCCCTTCTTTTGCTTTCTCCCTGCATGTGCTCTGTTTAGCCCTCCTGCCCTCTTGTGTCCCCCCTCCTATGGCCTCTTTAGCCTACTCCCATCCTGTGCCCTTCTTTGTACCTCTTCCTGTGCCTCTTTAGCCCCCTTCCTGTGCCCTTCTTTGTCCCCCCTCTTCTTGTGCACTCTTTACCTCCCTCAAAGGTGCCTGCTCAGGATCAGCTGAAGGTCTGCTACAGAAGACCCTCTGTTTCCTGTACCCGGTCGGACAGGAAGCAGTTCTGTGCTCTCTGTGAGCACTTCCTGTGGGACTGGGTAGGGGAACACAGGCTCATTTACCACAGTCAGCTGATTCGACCATGCTAAATTCAGTGACAGGCAGGAGGGGAGTGCTGTGCTGTGCGTACCCCTACTGCCTGTCACTAGGAGATCATACCCCGCAGGTATGCCTCTAATGAGTGGTATCAGAGGAGGACCGCCGCTCCCCCCCCCCCGCATCCCACTCATACGCCACAGATGATGATAATGAGTTTTTTTTTAATTAAAATACCTTGAGTATATAAATGTTCATTGTATACTAGTACTCTAACATTATTGTGTTTAACTTTAAGAAACACTACATTGCATACAGCACACACCACACACACACACACACAAACTCACATAGTGCTTGCATACTTGTGCCACGCACTGGAATGAACACAATTAAAGAAAAAAAAATGTTAAATGCTCTTTAAAAATATACAAACTTTAAATCAGTGAATATGATCAGTGTACGGTATGTTGGACAACAACATAACTTTTAAAAAACAAATTCTACAATCAGTTCACAAAAAACTCTATATCAGTGAATCAAATGTGCCATCAGTGGCTACTGGCACATCACTAACCACTAACCACCAGTTTCGCACTACGATCAACGCGGGGTCGGTCCGTCCATAAGGCAGCACAATTGGCCGCCTTAGGGTGCACCGGCACTAGATTAGAGTGACTGGCAGGAGGTGAGCGCACTGTGCTCCCTCCTGCCAGGCACTCAGTGTAGTGTAGCCGAGTGGATCTGTTTCCTGTACCCGGCCGGACTGACAGGAATTGCTCACTGAGAGAGCACTTCCTGTCAGTCTGGCCAAGTACAGGAAACTGAAGCTCCACTCAGCCACGCTACAAATTAGGAAACACACTGGGGAGGGGAGGAACACTAAGAGGGGGGAGGGAGGGGAGTGGACCAAGGGGGGGAGAGAGAAAGGGGAACTAAGGGACAAGGGGGAAAGGAACACTAAGGGACAGGGGAGGGGAGTTGGCCACTAAAATAAAGGGAGGGGGGAGGAACACTAGAAGGGGAGAGAAACATTAAGGGGGGGCACTAAGGTACAGAAGAGGGAAGGGAAGAGGAACACTGGGTTAGGTGGGGAAACCACTAAAATAGAGGGAAGGGAGAGGAGAGGAACACTAAGGGGAGGGAGGAACATTAAGAGGAATGGGGGCACTAAGGGACAGTGGAGGGAAGGGAAAAAGAACACTAAGGAAAAGGGGAGAAGAACACTAAGAGAAGGGAGCACTAAGAGACAGGTAAGCGGGGGGGAGGAACACTAAGGGACAGGGAAGGGAATGGAGAGGAACACTAAGGGACAGAGGAGGGACGGGAAAAAAACACTACGAGACATGAAGGAACACTAAGGGACAGGAAGTGGAAGGGAGAGGACCATTAAGGGATGGGGAGGGGAGAGGACCACTAATAGACATGGATGGGAAGGGAGAGGAACACTATGGGACCTGGAGGGGAGAGTGGCACACAGGGGGGGTTGTAAGAGATACACAAGGGAGGTGTAAGACACACAATGGGGAAAAATAGGGGATAATAGGGGACGGGTTAAGAGGCACACAGGTGAAGATGCATTTTTTTGGGAGGGGCACCAAAATTATCTTCGCCTGTGTACCCAAAAATCCTTGCACCGGCCCTGGATCGACGCAATGTTGGAATGCCAAGATTTACAACTTTGTCTTATGCATTTTCCCACACCTGACAAAACTTGACAAAAGGCGTCCGGCTTTTGTCAAGCTTTGTCAGGTGTAGGAAAATGCATAAGACACTGTCAAGTTTTGTAATTTCCCCCAGCCACAGAAGTGACTACTGTAAGGAAAAAAGCACTACCTATTGAGGCTCCTGTAGTCTTGCAAAATCCTCAATAGACATCGGTGTTGTTCACTTATGCATCCATGGACTCCGGCAGGTGAAGAGGGGCCACCGAACAGACGTGGCAGCAGCAACAAGAGACAGCTTCAGGTACTTAAAACGTATTTTCCCCTGCATCCCTATGCCACCATACTGCAAGCAGTGAAGTCATGAATAGATGGTCTTTGTAAAATACACAAACACAAAGACTCCAGAAGGTGACAGAGTCACTTTAAACAGGATATATCTATCTCTAAGTCAAAGATTGTGTAAGAAGCACTGTGCACCTGGCAGGTGGTAGCCACAGAAGTAACCTAACCAGTCTCACACATTAGTATCAATGATCCAGGCGTTCTATCTCCCACTCAATGTTAGTGTGTCATATAAGCACAGGCAGTCTCTCAATAGGATCAATGACATACACCTCCCACTCCTACATAGACACAACAATGGTTAAAAAAAAAATCCATGATCTGTCTCCCTCCTCCTGTCAAAGTGTCTGAAACAGTCGGCTTGAAAGTACATAGATTTTCTTCCATCTTTTTTTTACGGCTATTGGTCACTTGATCTGTGAATAAAATCAACATTTAGCCGCTGTCCCCTAACCAGTAGCTGCAGCCCACATCATTGGGTAGACCATCATAGCAAACTAAGTTGCATATTGGTCGTCTTAAAAAAAAAAATTAAAAAAAAAAAATCAGATTCCTCTATATTCCTCTCAATTTGTATAAAATAGAATGCTCAAGTCTAATATTCATCAAAATGTTTGATAATAGTCACAAGTGTGGCAATAATAAGACTGATACTCTCCTGCCCACGTTGAACTTCTGCTTTTCTATTACAAGTGAAACAGCAATCGAAACAAAACTGTAAACTGATACGGGTAAATATAAATATTTACAAAAAATTATAATATTTTTTTCAGTGGTATGAGGTATCATGCAAAAAATATACCACTTTTCTCTCTCTAGATTACCTTTTTCTAGACACTTTTTAAGAGTTAATATCGCACTGCTCTGAAATCATCATGAGCGTACACTGATTTACTACAGAGTTAAATAAAAACGAGAGAAGAAAATGCATTTTATTGAAAGAAGGGTAAAAAAAAAGACCATTCAAGACGCATAGAATGGTAGCATTCTTTCTCTTTCTTTAACAAGCTTTGTTGCCAAAAGGTGGCAGCATCACATTACTCCAGCAACAAAGGTGTTAATTTGCATTAAGGGACCAGAAAGGTGTAGGGATGACTAATAGTCTATGACCAGGAGGCAATTACAGACTTGTGTTGCAGTTCACTGTTCCAGCCTCAAATTATCCATTCACTGCTAGTCATTAACCTTGCTAATTACGATAGTGCATTTGTTTTGCGAAGCGCCTTTGTGATAAAGAGATGAAGCAGGTGAGGGTTGAGACAGACACACATTACAGTTTTCAGCTGTCTGGTAATGATGGCTGCTCTCCTGCTTATATTTCGGAGGGTCCTGAACACCTCATTAGAACAGTTCAATTCTGTCTCCACAGCAACATCTCATGTCTTCCCTGACACAATGGCACAGCTTGAAAATTCACAGACCCAGGAGGAAGCCAACTTGCATACATTGCCCACTGCTGGAGAGCGAGAACAAGCAGTGACAGAAGAGAAAGGACTCAGCGTCACTGCAGAGCACGGTGCTGATTAGTGAATGATAGAGTAGAAAAAAATCAATTCTTCAGCTCTCCCTGCCATTGTTGTGATTCACACTAGAGATCTGATCTTGCCAGCAGCAGGTGCAACGTGCCTAGCAGGAAATGGCCGTTTTGACCCTTGAGTAGCTCATATCTTGGCACAATCACAATAGAATATCAATATTTTTTTATCTAGATAACCCACAGGTATAGAAAATCCATGAAATACAGGACTTAAAGTCTTTTCTTCCAGAAGGGATTAGAAATTGTTAATTTAAAATGATAGTGATCTAAGTTCTAATAGGCATTAAATGCACAAGGGTGTAATAACGGTTGGGCCAAGCATTTAGTGTCCTCAAACTAATTATATTAATTCAAGGGAGAAACTATATAGCAGCCCCTCATCAATCCAATGCTTTCTTCAACTTCTACTTCAAAAACTCACCATCTTGCTAGGAATTTACTCAGGCAGCAAAAATGTTAAAGGGGCACTATGGTCACCAAAACAACTTTAGCTTAATTAAGCAGTTTTTGTGTATAGAACATGCCTTTTAAGTTTTACTGCTCAACTATCTGCAGTTTAGGAGTTAAATCACTTTTGTTTCTGTTGATGCAGCCCTAGCCACACCTCCCCTGGCTGTGACTGACACATCCTGCTTAGAAAAAAAATCAGATGTAACTTACTTTTAAAGTTTTTATCTCCTGCTCTGTAAACTGAACTTTAATTACATACAGGAGGCTCCTGCAGTGTCTAGTAAACTATTAACAGAGCAGGAAGTATAAACAGTAGATTACTATTTACAGGGTGTATATAGGAAGGCTGTGTAAGTCACATGCAAGGAGGTGTGCCTGGGGCTGTATGAACAAAGTGATTTAATTTTTAAATTGCAGAGAACTGAGCAGTGAGACTGCAGGGGCATGAACTATACACTAACACTGCTTCATTGAGCTAAATACCTTTAAATGTGATGACTCTGCTTCAAAACCGACTGGTACACATATAGGAATGGGAGATTTAAATTACAATTATAAAGCATATCACTCCTGAAATGTAATGTCACAAGTTTCTTGTTAATGTGGCACAGTTAGCATTCTAAATACAAATCAATAAACTGAAAGAGGGCACTTGGACCATTGTTTTTAAAATCAGTACTCAATATCCTCTTACAGTACATGTATTACTCAGATAAAGGTAGATCTGGCTCAATAGCTGGGATTGTATTTGATAGTCATAAAAAATGCCCTTGACCTGCAAAGGTCTGTGACAGCGCAATGATTTAACGAATTAGTAAGTTGCTCCTGGTGCCAAACTGAACACAGTTCATTTACAGTTCATTTCTGATTAAATTACACTAATATTAATTTATTGCACCTGAAATTACTTTTTTTAAATTACTTTTAGACACATTGCACCTACAATTACAGAGTGCTGCAGATTTCTTTAATGAATTCAGCAAGAAATAGGAGTGGAAAAAATAAAAACACCAATTTGCACTTTAACAGATCACCAGTCAGGTGAGTACTATACTTGTAAATTGAGTCTTGGAATGGTCTGCGTCATTGGTGTTCTGAAGTAGTTCATAAAACCTAGAGCTTCGTTTTTTTCAAATGGCACATAGAGCAAGGAAGCATTTTGCCACCATAACCAGAGTGAATTTCTCCCTCTGGGGTTATATACCCTACTATATGCATCACCAGCTATGTACCAGCAGGGGCCTGACCAGGCATGCCACTCTAAAATTGCCTTTCTTTCACATAGCACAATCTGGGGTGTCACTAGGGGGTCCATGTGTTTATGGGTCAGTCTGTGTATGTATGGGTCAGTCTGTGTGTGTATGGGTCAGTCTGTGTGTGGGGGAACAGTCTGTGTGTGTGCGTGTGTGTGTGTCAGTCTGTGTGGGGGGGGGGGCAGTATGTGTATGGGTCAGTCTGTGTGGGGGGGCAGTCTGTGTGTGTGTATGGGTCAGTCTGTGAGTGTATATGGGTCAGTCTGTGTGTGTATGGGGAAGGGGGCAGTCTGTGGGTTTGTATGGGTTAGTCTTTTTAACATACCATTATTTATTTAATCACATGTAATTTAATTTTTAAAAAATAAACAAATATGATGAAAAATCTAAAAAAATGTTTGTTTACTTTTACTTGAAAAATCTTTTACTCATCTACAAAAGCTAATGAAAAAAACTGCTAAATAGATTCAAAATTTTGTCCTGAGTTTAAAAAATACCCACTGTTTACATGTTTTTTTCTTTTTTTTTTTTGCAAGTTATAGGGCTATAAGAAAAGTAGGATATTGTGGTTTCAAAACATACATTCTTAAAATGTATCAATAGTGACATTGTAACACTATTATCTGTCATAAATCTCTGAATAACACCCCACATGTAACAAAGTTAGCGTTCATATTTATTTGTGTGTTAAAAATGCAAAAAAACCCGCTAGCTTTGGCCAGTGTTTGTGACTAAGTGGCTACTAAAAAAGACTGGACATACCCTATTAGCAATACCTTGGGTTGTCTTCTTTTGCAAATGGTATGCTATCATGGGGGTAACTCTCATTCCTGGGCTTTTTATTTATTTATATATACATTCTAAGTGTATTTTGATATTAATATATATTAATATCAAAATACAGTTAGAATAAGATTTCATATAGATATATATTTTTTTTTAATTTTTATTATTATTTTTACATTTTTTAATTTAATTTACTTAGTATTTGTATTTTATAATATATATATACAATATATATAATTATTATATATATATTATATATATACGTGTGTAATTTAATTATAAGTGTATTTATATATTAATATATGTATATATTAATATAAAAATACACTCAGTATGACATTATATATATGATCTATAGACATATAAAATATAGCTTTAATATATGTCTATATATCATATATATATATATATATATATATATACACACATATATAATTATTATTATTTTTTATTAAAACACTAGCAGGGAGACTGCCTGTCAGCACAGGTAGTCACTCTGCAGGCTGACACATGGACACCTATTGTGACAATGTGATCGCTCTGGCCAGTGTTTGTGACTAAGTGGCTACTAAAAAAGACTGGACATACCCTATTAGCAATACCTTGGGTTGTCTTCTTTTGCAAATGGTATGCTATCATGGGGGTAACTCTCATTCCTGGGCTACCATACGCTCTCAAAGGCAACGTAACCAACCTGGCAATTTCCAATGTAAAAATACTAGACCCATATATTTGACCCTGTAACTTT